ATGTAAAACTAAAATCTGATATCTCATCTTCTGTGCTTCAGAAATTATCATTTTCCACTGCTTTAAATGGTTTTTTTTGCACTGCTATGGGCGAACTATTCAGAAACTGCTTGAAAATATTGCTAAATGTCTCTGAAGCGTAAATTTAGTGTAAATTTCTCGCAAAAAAATGGTTGTTGATTAAGAAATAAAACAGTAAATTCTTGTTGGTTGAATTCACAGTCTATGCTTTGTTGGCAAAATTGTCGATCTGAATTGTGCAAAGAAAATTATGTTCAGTGAAACATCAACAAACAACTAATTTTTTATCTTTCTGTAAAACAATTTTAGTGAATCTATCAAAAATTAGTAAAAAAAAAAAAGAATTTTAATCAATGACTGAAAAAAGAGAAGCAAAATCAGAATTACCGTAACCAACAAGCACATATGGCTTCAGGCGTGGTTCAGCATTGAATACCGTAAGAACCAATTGGTTATGTAGATAAAAGCCTTCCAAAAACATCCAGAAAAATGCAACACATTTGAAATACTCAAGCAATACAGATGAAAGCCAACAAAGTAATGGCTGTAAAATAGCAGAATTAAAAATTACTTTACTTGCTGATTTGAGTGCTATCCAACAAATTAAACTTTAACCAATCTTTTCATACAATTTTAACTGTTAATCATTTTTAATTCAAAAAGAGAAAAATTCAAACCAAGTACGCTTAAACATTTCTACCAATTATAACAACTGATCAGAGTTTAATTTGCTTTTTTTTTTATCGCTTAGATTTTGCAAAAAATAAAACTTTTATTTTCTTTACTGTTTTTGATGACAAAATCTTTAAGGAAACTTTTTTTTTAACTTAGGGTTCAAAAAGCTCGCTTTAATTCACAACATTTGTATATATGCAAAAAATAAATTAATTAAATTGAACTTTATACAAATCATTGATTCATTTTTGATAAATTTAACCGATCACTAGCACCTTGGCATGCGTTCATACTTTAACCTACCCAAACTTTTTCATGCATACCTAACAAAAGAACTGCAAAAAAGAAAAAAGAAGGATACACTTCTAGTATATAATAACTAAAAATTGAAATAAAAAATAATATATATGCAAAAAAAAAAGTAAATTAAAAATAAAAGAACGAAAACAAAAGAGACAAACGCGATGACAAAACTACTGTGGGGGGAAATACATCGGGGAGAAGTAAAAGAAATAAATAGTAACTAAAGATCAAAATAAAATGTAAGTTCAAAGTCAAAAGTGAACATTACTGCAGTATTTTGCTATCTGTAGCTATCTAAATAAATCTTGGATCGTCATCGTGCCTCTTTTCATCAATACAGAACGTATTTGCTATAGTGAATTTTGCTGATCATTAGGAGCTTCTTTTCTGTACATGAAGTATTATCTTTTATAATTAAAAAAAAAAGTAGTTATTTTACAATGTCCCTTTGTAAACTACAGAAAACAATGTTCTTTTTTAATTTATTTTTGATAATTACCCTCAGAAAAAGAAGAATTTTTTTTGCAATATACTATACACTATTTTATCACTATAATAATGCTCTGTTTTTTTTTTTTCGCTTTTTTTTTTCTTTCTATTACACAGCTCAAAAAAAACGGCTTGTCTTCTCAGTAGGTATATATTGATGTGTAGTAATTTTATTCTTAAACAACAAAAATAAAGTAATAATAATAATGATAATAGGATTGAAAACAGAAGGATAAAAAACAAACAACAAAAATTTTCTGACCATGCTGTTAATTACCAAAAACTGTAGATCGATATACATGACAAGACGAATAAACACAAGTCCAAGAATTGAGGCCATTAAATGAACGTGAAGAAGATTTCTGAAGACACGAAGTCTCCTAAAATATCAGTCATATTGGTGTTTCAAATAAAGAAAAACAATTCTTTTTATTTGTATAATAAAGAAAACAAATAAATGTTTTTTTTTTTTTAAGTTGTATAAATCTTACCTGAAATACAGAAAGATAGCTACCGATATTAGCAGCGTAAAAAATGATAATCCAAGTGCCACTAAATCCAAAATTCTTACATTTGCAACACTTGCAAACAAATACTGAAAAAGAAAAAAAAAGAATTCAATGTTTGCAAACAAAAGTATAAATATGTAAAATTTAAATCAATTATTTTTTTTCTGTT